TAGACCTTTTTTTCTGAAGAGTGGGCTGCTTCTGACGGTCTTCTGTGTCCTCTGTCACAGGTGGACAGTGAAGACTCGGGCCCCTCCGATAATTTCTCCATGGACCCCCAGCTGGAGCGGCAGGTGGAGACAATCCGGAACCTGGTGGACTCCTACATGGCCATCGTCAACAAGTGCATCCGCGACCTCATGCCCAAGACCATCATGCACCTCATGATCAACAATGTAAGGAGCTATCTGAATTGGGCAGAGCTTGGTTCTTCACCACCATGTCTGTCATCTCAGCAGTCCTGATCAAGCTCAGGGCCACCCTGTGACACAGGCATGACACTACCCTGCTCTCTCTTTGGCACCTCTTTCCGTCTTGCTCTCTATCATCCTTTTCTTCCTCCTCCGAGTCCCTGGGTCAAACGCTTTTCTGGTAGCTGCGGGCGCGTGCTCTCCCTCTCTCCCTCTCATTCTCTGTGTTGTCTCCCCAGTCTCTCTCAGCCTTTCCCCATCTCCTCCCAGGTGAAGGAGTTCATCAACGCCGAGCTGCTGGCCCAGCTGTACTCGACCGGGGACCAGAGCGCGCTCATGGACGAGTCGCAGGAGCAGGCGCAGCGGCGGGATGAGGTCCTGCGCACTCATCACGCCCTGAAGGAGGCGCTGGCCATCATCGGCGACATTTCCACCACCACCATTACCACCCCCCTGCCCCCGCCGGTCGACAGCTCCTGGCTGCAAGCGGGGCAGGGGGGCTCCCGCAGGTACCACCCGCAGGGGGACGAGGGGGGGAGTTGAGAGGAGGAAGAGGGGTGGGCTGTTAGAATGAGGGGAGGAGTGCGGGGGCAATTAGAAATGAGGGGAGGAGTGCGGGGGCAATTAGAGATGAGGACAGGAGTGTCGGGGGCAATTAGGGGGAAAAAGAGGGGTGTAGGTGCATTAAGAGATGAGGGATATGGAGGGCAGTTAGTGGATTTCAGGGGAACTATAATTCAGTGTTCAGCAACCTACTCTATAACTATTACATCTGATTTGCGTTCTAGGAACAAGTAAAGGTTTATTCCATGCCGAAAAGAGAAGAAAAGAAACGCAAAATGTTTCGGCTGTGAAGCCTTCTTCACAGGGTTCTACCGAAGGCTCACTCGAAAAAGGATCCACAGCCGAAACGCGTTTCCTTTCTTCTCTTTTCAGCCTGGAATAAACCTTTACTTGTTCCTTTGCTGTCTACGCATGCCGACGCAGCTCCCTACTTGAACTAATTTGCTTTCTGCCTGTTGAGCTTTCTTGGGCACTATCCTCTGTCCAAGCAGTTATTTCCATGGGGATTGTGGGATGGGCCCCCAGGCGCTGGGGCAGGAGACTTTCATCTCTCTCTGTGTCTCGTAGGTCACCCCCTCCAAGCCCCACGGCCCCTCGGCGAATGCAGCTGGGCTCCAGGGCCCCCGCTCCCCCTGTGCCCTCGCGCCCTGGCCCACTTCCCCCCTTCAACAACAGTGCCGACGCCCTGCCCCCCCAGGTGCCCAGTCGGCCCAACCGTGCCCCACCCAGCATTCCCAGGTGAGCATTCAGCCAGACATCCTGCTGTTCTTTCTGTCAGTGTCAGGCAGGTGGGAAATGAAAGAACTCTTGCTGTCACACCACTGGTTTAATGCAAAGCTGTACGTTTCCCTGTGCAGAAAAATAAGGTAACCTACAGTTGATGGTAAAAATGATGTCCAAAATACTTTTGTCACATTACAAAATTTACTTGTGTGTATTAGTACCGCAGGCTTGTGTGCCATGAATACACACCCACTACAGCGTATTAATGCACTCTGTAGTGATGCACACACGCACTCCCAGTGTATTAACATTCCTGTGGTAAGAGCCTCAGTGACAGCAGTGGTTATTGGAGATGGGTGGTGTGAGTTTACCCATGTGTTTCTCATACTATACTCCCTCAGTCTAGACAACTCTCTCTCTCTCCCTCTCTCTTTTCTCTCTCTATCACATTATTCTCCATCCTTTCCCCCTCTCTGTCTCTCTGGTCCCACACCTACAACTCACACCGTGGATGGAAAATGACTTGATATTGTTTAAAGCGCATTTTAGTGGAGTATCAGCTCATTTGTACTGGTGTGTTAAGTTTCTGGCAGGTTTATCAGAAAGTTGATTTCATTCACAAGAAAACAAATCCTGAGTCTGTGAAGATCCCGCTTTCGTCAGTGAAAAAACACCCACTGCTCAGCCCGGTTGTATTCAGGCTGTGGTTAAACTCAATGAGCTACAGTAACTGTATTTTTTCCCACTCTGATACTCTTGATTCCTCTCTAACAGTTTCTCTGCTCTCTGCTTTCCTCCTTCTCTAACTCCCCGTGTCTCTTTCAACCCTTTTTCTGTTTTCTGTGTTTCCTTGCCCTTTTGACATCTGTCTCTTACCTCACGTCACCTCCTTCTCTCCACCACCACGACTTCTCTGCTCGTTCTCTCCCCCCCCCACACTTCTCTTCCTCCTTCATCACTCTTTCTGTCATCGCTGCTACTTTTGTCCTTCCTCTCTCCTCCCCCTGTTTCCGTCTGTCTCTCTTTCTCTCTGCAGCCGGCGGCCTCCTCCCTCTCCTACCAGACCCACGATTATACGTCCTGGAGACCCTTCCCTCCTGGACTGAGAGGCTGCGAGCCTTCCCAGGGTCCCCCACCCCCCAAGCCCGACCAGGCTTGCCATAAAGTCCTGCATGCTCCCCACCCAGTGTGCTCAGTATAGCTCCTCCGTGTCCCAGTATAGTAGCCATGTGCTGTGCCTGCTGTCATGGTGTTTCATTGTGTCTCAGTGCTGTCCTGCCTGCGGTCTGGTAGGCTGGGTAGGCATACCTCCTAGTTCTAGTTCTTTCTTCCCAGACCATAGCTGTTGGGTAAATTGTACCAGCACACTGATTTGCAGGGTCACAGTGAGTCTTAATGGCACAGAGTATCAGTATCCTGGCGCTGCCCTCCCAAGACTGTGTGCCAGAGAGACACAGTGCCAATGCAGTACGCACTCCCAGCCGCTGGCTCTGGCTGAAGATGCACTCACGAGCTCGAGAAAGTAGCCTGAAGAAAATAGATCGCAAACGATGGTCTCGGGCTCTTTCCAGGTTTTTGGTTTTGCAGATTTGGTGATTTAGTGCACACATTTACTGTACTGGTTTGCGTCTGTGTTGCATTGAGGTCTAGTTTGTCATACGCACCTCTGTCCATTAACGTACAGTGTGTGCACATGTCCGTCAGCGTGCTTATGTCTCTCACCTGCCTGGATGGCAGGGCTAGAGTAAGCTCCCCTTTATAGCTTTTGCTGATAGTTTGCTGGGTCTTTGTCTGGCTAAAAGCTACACATAAGAATACAAGCGCATAAGGCATTTTGGACTTTGTGACTTTTTACATGAAGCTAAAGGCTGAGGTGACACAGTATGTTCATATACTGATTCTGGTTATTGTATATTTACCACCTTATCTGTCTTTCTGCCTTTTCTGTTTGTTTATGAGTTCCAGAGTATAATGAATTCTATAACCGAGTATTGTGCTAATTGATTACTGTTAGTCTGATTACTGTATCAGTTTCTGGTGATCTGTGTGTATCCCTGTCTCTTGTCTCTGTATGTGTGGCAGTCTGTCATTCTTCAAGTGCCGTTTGCTTGTTTTTTGATGCAGTACAATAAATGTACATCCATCGCTGTCTGCCTGATATCCTAACTGCCTGTCGGTGTGTGTCTGTCTTTGTTGGTTGACTGTCAGGTGTTCCACACACAGCCAGCCTGTCTCTCCATCCGAGTGTGAGTTAACATCACAGACAGCGCAGTGTCGAGTGTGCTGAGAAGCCTGTCAGCTGGATCTTGTGATGAGGACTATGGCGTGGGGCACACAGTGTTTGGGGGAGAGCAGAGCAGTGATAGATACACTGTGCCAGTACTACATGTACAAAAGTCCGTCCCGGATTTGGGATTGTACATCACACTCCGCCTCCAACCTCCTGGACTGCTGCAGGACATAGATGATCTTAGTATTGCATGCCTGGGAAAAAGATTGTTGTAAATGAAATATTAATAATATTGACATATTGTACTCTCCAAAGCCAAGGACTTGATGTTGTAATTTTCTATTAGCGATAAAGGGATGTATGCGCGCGTGTGCCTGTGTGTCTGCATTTGGTGTTGTTGTTGTTGTTGTTGTTTCTGTTGTTCAGGTCAGTTTGAGTCATTAACACCACAACTTGACTGGAGGAATTCAGTTCTCCGTTCTGTCTGATAAAAGGGTCAGGGGGTGTCCTGGCGGGGACGGTATGGAGGGAATGTGTGAGTTAGATCTGGTCCTGACAGCTGCTCTTGAGTTTGCTTTCGCCAAGCTGAAAAGCAGATGTTTCCCACGTCAGAGCTGCCTCAGAAAGTTAACGGCTGTGGGGCCACTCACTAGTCCAGTCTGCCAGTTAAGATTTGCAGTGCCATAGTTACAACGCACTATTGTGTGTACTGCTGGGTTCTGATAAGTCATCTCTATGCCTGGTATACAGTATATACAGTAGTACCCTCCGTAGGTATTGGGACAGTGGTGTCAAAATTGCCGTTTTTGCTGTTTGCTCAAACAATTTGGATTTGAGATGAAAAGATTAATGAGGCAAAAGTACAGAATGTCTCATTTAATTTTCTTTTTTTTTCTGTGCATATGTGCTTTAGCGTTTTAGATGAAATAAAAATGAAGGGCAAGCTGTGGTGAGTTCACCCAAAACCAGTTTCACCCTTTAGATCGTATCGATTAGTGTTGGTGACTGTTCCAGCCCTGCCTTGCTAAGCAGACAGATGGAACACCAGGACAATCTGCCAGAGCTACAGTACAAGGTGTCACTGGAACTCTAGACAGTATAAATGATCTTTTAATACCATTAATTTTTGAACAGGTTCCAATCCCCAATGCTCAAATAAGACATGACTGTTATTGTGTGTTTTTTACATTAAAAGTCTGCACTACAGTATACACACAGCAGCTTTGATACGTGTCTGTGTACCTGGCACTTATACATTGTACACCTGGTGCACAAGTACTTATCAGAACCGCCCAGATTAGTCTATTCCAAAGAGACAATCCTAGGCAAGTGTTGGTTGATTATCAGACACCTGTGTGGTTAATATAAGCCCTGGTTGTTATTGCAGATTCTCTGTTCCTTAGGTACTCGGGTTCCAGAGAGTAAAAGGACTTTGGGTCAGACATGTAATGGGGCTTCTCTGTGGCTCGAGATTTCTGTGGGCTGCTGTGAACGAACAGTGATATGTTCATTCGTACAGGACCGCCTTCACTGCCTGCTGTCTCCTAGCAGAGCAAGGTCCACAAGTCCAGGAAAGGAAAACAGACAGAGCTCGAACCCGTACTGCATGGTGCAGGTGACATTGTGGAGCTCTGGTGTGAGCTGAGATGTAGTGGGGGGGCTTTGAGAGTACTCCTGTATATTAAAGCTCCAGATTCCTCTCCCTGTGTTTAGGATTTGTAATCGTATGACTGCTTCAAGCCTCTCTGTCTCCCTTGCAGTCAGTCTGTTTTGGAGTCGAAATGTTTGCTTGTCTTTTTTCTCTGAACACCCAGTCCAGTTAGTCTGCCCTGCTGTGTCTCTGTCTGCCTGCTGGGAATAGTGCCTGTGCTCCCAGCCATGCCCCACCTCCCCCAGCCTGCTCCCATCCTCAAGCTCAAAGTCATTCCATTGTGTGCAGGCCGGGGGACCCCCTGTCCCTGCCTCCATCTTCCGATCTGCCCCCCACCCCTGTCTTCTTTACTCTGGCGCTGTGTCAGTCTTTGTCTTTGCTGTAAGACTGTCACCATGATGCTGTCCTCTGAGCCGACTGTATTAGGCTGTATATAAATATTTTGGGGACGATTGCTGACTGTAGACAGTGTCTTATGTAATCCTCAGTCTCTCTATATCTCTCCAGTTAAACTCTTGCTGTTCAATAAATCCTCTGGCGTTTCCAGTCTCTGGTCTGCTGTCTTTCTTTGCTGGTGTCTCCCTGCTCTCCGCTAATTCTGAAAACAGCTCAAAGTGCACTGCAGTTGGACATCAGCCATTCTGTTTCTGTTTTGTTCAGTGCCACAGAGATGATTTTTACTTTCTGGCCGAACGCCCTTGTAAAAGAGTCTTCTCTCTCAATAGATTCCCTTCTAGATAAATGAGCAGTATACTGTACACTGGTATCTATAGGAACCAGTCCCTTTTGCCAAGTCTGTTCTTTATTATTTAAAGATTTTTTTTTTAAACAAGCAGTGTAGTGCAGTGTTCTGAATACAAGGCTTCAATCTGGTTTCAGGTGTTCACACATGGACAGGTGAGTGTCTGAGGTTCTTGACAATGCTGTTAAGTAACCAGGTAGGTGTGAAACGAGTAGCATGAGGGAGAACTTGATGCCCTGGTAGCCGTGTGCTCCGATTCTTACCTCGTAGTGTGATGTAAGCTCGGCGTCCATCTCGCCTGCAAACTCTGTTTCCCTTACAGTGCCCTTATCCAGTGTGTTTCACCTGAACATGTTCCAACTCACTGCACAACAACAGTCTTGCAGACATATTATCAGTTTTACTTCTGCAGGTAACCATTGATCGGTCTGCATTATTAATGGATTCCCCCTGTCTGTGTTCTTGTCCAGGAGACTTCCGCCAGCTGTCCCCTTGAGGCCTCCGCACTGAGCTCCACCCCTCCACCCAAACCTCTTGTCACAGGTCCCACCCTTTGTCCTGCCTTGGACAGTGATCTCTTAACATGACGACTGTCACATCAACAGGACTCTAGTCCCTGCCTTGAATCAGAGTCACCCACCTACAGCACCATCGCTGCCCCCAGACATCTTTTATCATGAGTGTCTGTCAGTAGAAGAGTTCCCCACTTCCCTCGCTTTTCTCCACGTTGTAAGATACTTGTATTTATTGCACGTTTGCAATCCAGGCTCAAGTGCACCAGATTTCAAACTGGACTCTGCTTGACTTGATTGCTCCCTGTCCTGTCTGTAGTATCTACTTACATATTACCTGTTATTTAGCTGGCTGCCAACCTGAACTCCACATCTTTTCTGTGCTGTAAAGCGTGTGCGTCTGTCTGTATGCATCAGTGTGGCCCCCTGTAAATAAATACTATTACAAATAATGGTTCCCCAGGCCGAAATAAACAATTTCTATTTCGTATCTGTTTTTTTATGTGTTTTAGCCTGCCCTCTTCAGAGTGCACTGCTGCTTGCTTCTACAGCGACAGTCCCTGTAAGGCCTGAGTAATTGTTGAAATTATACATAATACAAAACAGGTGGCTGCAAACAGTAAATTTAATATAGACCGATGACAGGAATAACATTAAAAATGTTTGGCTGATCGTGGAGAAAAAAAAGGAGTTTTTTAAAAACTTTTTGTGTTTGCCGATTATGACAACTACAATCTGAGCTGGGTGAAGTCTGTTCGAAGCTCGTATTAGGTCCACATCCGATGTAAGTTCAGTGAACACGAACGAGCTGGGCAGGACGTTGCGTTTGTTGGGAAGGTGAACGTCGTTACTGTCCAAACACGTGACAGCTGTGTTGGCGAAGCCTGGTCAGGCTGCCCTGACCTTCTGAAGAGTGAAATAAAGAATAATACGAAACCAAGTGCTGACCATTTTAAAACAAACGCCTTATCTTTACTCCAGAGTGGCTCAGTAAATAAAAGATATAAAGATAAGCGAGGCCGCCTCGTTTACAATTTAAAGCGAAAGGCGTGCGGGGGGAGTCCGCTGTTTGAGCTACGTTTCTTCCTTCCTGTTCAAAGCGGCCGTGGTTGTCATGGCGTCCAGAGTGGACACTGTGACGGGAGCTCTGAGGCGGTATCCACACAAAACACGATTAGAAAAAAAAGAAAAAGTATAAATCCAACCAAAGAAGGAAAATAAATACGAAAGGAGGCCTTGGAGAACAGTTGCGAAGCCCTCCACTCTCCCAGTGCGGGGGGATCCGGGGACCTTGGAGTGATGGAGCAGCCGGCGGCGTCTCTGGCAAGGCAGGGGGGGCTGGAGAGCAGAAAGCCGAAGACGGGGGAAAAGCCCAGGGCCGGCGAAGTCAAGGTGAGAATCTAGTGCCCTCTAGTGGCCCGACACGCTGATTGCACTGGGATTCGTATTCCTGCTATTCTCTCGGCACTTGCACAGGAAGGTATGGTAGGGAGTGTGGCTTTTTTTTTTAGTGTATAGATTTTTTAACGTTTCCCCAATCGATATTTCAGACACCCTCGAATGTGTGGACAGTCTCCTCATCAGAAAAAAAACTAACGTTGTTATTCAAACATCAAAAATACATTTAATATAAAAAGTACTAAACAAAAGTCAGTGTTATTCTGAACAAAAGCATTAGCCATGACATGCCAGAAAGTCTGGAGACACATTCTGAACCACCAACCCTAAAAAGGTACGAAACAAAAGCATGGCAAGATGACGGGGACGAAAGGCAGTTTCCGTTTAGGTTTATTTGAAAAGTAGGTGTGTAACAGCAGGCAACAGTACCTTGTCTGGAAGACAATTTACAGTTCAGACTTCAATAGGATGAAGTGAGAATTACGTATTTCAAAAATAAATAGATTGACACCACTTCCAGCTGCTCTGCTGAGGGGAGGTCAGCTGTGTGCCCCGTCATGAGCAGCGTTATCAGCAGGATTTAAGAGTATTTGTAGCTGGAAGCAGTACGTGCGATCCCAGCCTCCAGCGTGCGATTCCTTGCTCCCGCGCTCGCCCGCTGGGTGTCTGGGGGTCCGGCTCTCTCCGCCCCTCCGCCCGCGGGCCAGCCTCACTGCAGGAAGCGGGACAGGTCCTCGCGGATCTCCGCCTCGTCCCAGGGCCCCTGGATGTTGTCCTTGTGCCGCTGCAGGCGCAGGAGCAGCAGGGGGCACAGCAGGGCGAGGGAGAGCAGCAGGGCGGCGAGCA